GGCGAAGTCCTGCTAATTTTAAGGCCCTTGAGTCCTCTGGTGAGGACTGATAGTAAAGGGTTATATCCTTATCTGGTTGGATGTTGTCTCTATTGATTAAGTGAACATCTTGTCCCTGTTGGCATAATGCCCTTTGAAATGTAAAAATCGAGTCTTTTTCTAAGATGGTGTCACTTATGTCAAGGGTGTTCTATACTACTTCCCGAGGAGACTTTATGAGAAGGAGGACCTCATGTGTGGGTCTCCATTGTATCCCCAGTGCTGAGTACACAGTGCTTAGAATATTGCTGACATGCAATACATATTTGTTGAATAAATTCATGAAAGTCAGTGCCGGTATTCAAGCTAGGTTTCATATGTCTGAGCTTCTTCTACCATAACATACAGGAATCACCTCTTGAAGGCCGTAATTTAAATTAAACCATTCCATAACTTTTGTTTCTGATTAGGATGAAGTAGCTTAATTCAGACCATCATCCTACTGAAAACAAGTATAAACGCTAGATTAAAGTAAAATACCAAAAAAGAGTCTGTTTAACAACATCAGAGAACAACCAAGGTAGCCAGGACTTGAAGACACAAGATCTCAGAGAAAAGAGATTCAGAGAGAAGCGAGCCTGGCATTTAGGTCCACTTTCTGCCTTAAGGCATTTGCTGAATCTTAAACTGGGTGAGAATGAGAGGCCAAGAAACCAAGTGGAGGGCATCTGCATAGGGGCTAAAAAAAACTCTCACAGAGCAGGAGAGACAAAATTTGGAGGGAGTTCACAGATGCTACGAAGGAGGGGCCCTGGTAAACACGCCAAACTTCCAGTTAAGACCAAGAATAAGGAGAAACTGGAAATAGACCAATCCTCACTAACTCCCAGCTTAGAACCATCTCAGTCACTGGTTGGGTAAGCTTGATCTGTCCCCACTCTAACTACAGGCCGGAATTAAATAAAGTCTTCTTGGGAGAAGGATGACATCATCTAGAACATGTACAAGTTTTTGTACACGATGTCCAGCATTTTCCTCATTGAGACCCCAAAAAGTCTATCATTTTCAAAGAAGACCTAATGTGAATTCCATGTAAGTCTGAATCTGGTTGGTCACGCCCAGGCAGCTCTCAGGGGTGGAGGACAGAATGAGGAGGAGAATCCTGAGTGACCAGACAAAGCTGACAATTTTAAATTGTTAACTGAGAGCTCAACTGACTCAAATTTCACCTGGAAAATGGAAAGCTGCCTACTGTGCAGTCAGCATGCAGACATAAGGAAGTCCTACACAGAAAGCATGCAAAGCACATGTCAGCGAAGGTCCTACTTCCCTTTTCATCACCTATAAAATAGGCTTCAATTATTAGAATAATGTAATGCTGCAGCTGGAAGGACCTTTGAAATTTGTCTAAGCCTAACCTTTAAACTCTTTGCTTTTATGAACTTAGAGGCCCCAAGATGGGAAATGGCCCTTCTATGACCATTTAAAAAATTCGGTTGGTTCTTGAACCCAAATAACTGGGCTCCCTGTGCAGCCAGAGTCCCTGCTTCACTGCCTTGCGAAAGCTCCAGGCTCAGACAACTCTAGCCCGCAACCTATCAACACTGTAAACAGCTTCAACAAAACTATAAATGTCATGTTAGATGTCAGATGATAAATGCGATTCCTCCTCAACAAACGAGCTCTAATGGGAGGATACAATGGGATTCCCAAGGAATTAAATTCTGCATCTTCCCAAGGACATCACAACAATTTCTCATTTATAGTGTTGTCCTAATAAATACAAAGGAAGTCATAATTCACTATTATTTAAAATAGTCATCAAGTCCTGGCTTTTATAACTCCACATTGGGCAGGATGTTTTTTATCAAGTAGCAGCTGGGCTTTTACAAAACCCAAAGCTGGCGCCTCTATCTATGTTGTTACCTGGAAAACAGTGATGGAGTTTCAGCATCTGGGGAAAGGGCAGCCAACGGGGTGGCAGGAGGGTCAGGTTCTAGTCCTGGCTTTGGCACTCTCTGGTCTAGGGGCTTTGGGCAAAGAAGTTCAAAATAATGATAATACCTGCTGAGCTCTGTGTTAAGAGCTCACAAATCTCCTCCTGTGTGAGAATGGGGACTGAGGAAATGGAGGCTTGGGGGCTTTTGCATAGGGCCATGGAACTGATAGAACAGCTGAAATTCAATCTCAATTACGGGGCATTTGGCCTAGAACCTAAATCTTTTTTGTTTTGTTGTAGTGTATTTGTTTTTATTTGTTTTTACCAATGTCCTGTTGCCGTAGCTTCCTCATCAGCATGCAACCCTAGTGTCAGCTGAAGCCTCCCATCCCTCAGATATCTAAATAACCTTAACTCAGACATCATCTCATCCACTTCCTGTGACAGACCATAATTTCTCTAAATCTTCAAGGATGTGCTTTATCCTGGGTGTCTTTGACTTTGGATCTGCAAGTACAGAACTGTCCCTATCCATTCCACAGCAGCATTCCCAGATAAGAAACTCAGGCCTATGCATCTGAGAAAGAAAAAGGAAAAGTGCAACAAGGAGTCTATGGGGTTAGTGACTTTGAAAACAATTCAAGAATTCACAGGAGGAATCGCAGCACACGGTTCAGCCTCATCCTCACCCCACCCCATCTGCCTGACTCTCTCAACTCTTCTCCCTTCTCCCTCCTTCTCCCAAGTCCCCAAAAATGTCTTCAGAGCAGCAGCATTGGCCCCTTTTCAGAGGCCTTAAGGTTGGTCAACATTCATGAACTACAAGGACTCACCTGCCCAAGCAGGCTTTTCCAAACAAACATTGTCTCAACACACAGCACTCTCTCTAAATGGTAGCCTCAGGCATTGGCTAAGAAAACAAATCTTTTTCTATACCTTACATCCAAAATATAGAGGTTAAAAGGATCAAAGATACCGAAACTGGGTTTTATAAACCCGTAGGATCATGAACTGTTGTCAGTATTTCCAAAAGTGAGATAAATTCTGCACATTTATTTTCAGTGAAGGTATATACAGTGTTGGATGTCTGTTTGGGGTTTAAAATTATATCAGTTCTGTGTAGTATCTGTGGTTTTCTCACGCTGATCAAAAACTCTGATAGACACCTATTTATGTTCCTGGTTCAATAAAAGAGCTCACATCAATCTCTTATTATTTCACATTTGTTCATTCACTCATTCAATAAACATTTATTGATCAATTACTCTATGCCAGGCTTGCGTATACTGTGGTAAATACGATAAAGTCTCTGCCTTCAAGGTGGTGACAAACAGCAAATAGATGAATATATTTTCATAGTAGTATTAGATGATGATGTGGATTCAGAATTTGGGGATATATGTCTGAGTAAGTCTCCCATTTAAGCCCAATCTGAAGATTTCAAATCAGTTTTACAAGTTTTTCTGCAATGGTTTTAACCCAAAACACATTCTAACTGAGGATGTGAACCCAGATGAGATTTGGTGTCTGGTCTTCATTGGATTGCAAACATAAAAATATTTCTTTTGGGGACACTTGACACTACTGCAGCAAATGCTACAGGCTGCACAGTGACAGCCCTAGTTCAGTACCTGATTTGCATACAGTGCATCTTCGTTCTTAATTTAGACCTGGGTGCCAAAGCCTTTTCCACTGAAAGGTAATAAGGCAGTGAAAGATGGCTCAGAAACAGCAAAGTGCCTGAAAGTTCCTCGTTTGCTCTTTCATCTCCACAGACAACGTAATTAACCAGGCAGTCCCTTCCCACTGCTTTCATCACTCTCACTCAGAATGAGTCTTCTCAGGGCACAATCAAGTGCTTTCACAGCTTTAGAGTCACAGGTTTTCAGTGAATGTAGCTTGTCCATTTCCATTCCATTCAGAACATGAGGGGAAAAGATTACTCTTTGCCAAGTGAATAAGAAATGGGGGATAGAAGGGAAGGCAGAAAATCAAAGAGAATCTATATTCCAAAGGTGACAAGTAACTCTGGAGATGTTTAAACATACAGGACTACGAGCAGCCTTTCAAGATTCCATAGGCTCACCGAAGGTAGAGTTGAAGAAAGTCTTAGAGACAGTGCAAGTCTAATTCTGTGCATGGGCATGAGGAGAAACTGAGTTGCAAAACGGAAGAGTGGTCTTTCCACACACGGTCATGTGGTTGGTGGCAGAACAAGGACTAGAACTCTGACTATCTGAACAGCACCCTTTCCATCACACCAGACCACTTCCATATTCCCTTTCTTCACTTATCCTTTTCCATGTTGGTTTTATTAATTTGTCCTGCACGTGGGGTCCTCCCTTTTGTACTTACGCAAATGCTCCCTCACTTTCAAAGACCATTCTCTAGTCCATGTGCTTTTTGAAGAAGTTACCCCAGTTACTCTAGGCATAATTTCTGCTTTGTTCACCCAAATCACCACATTTGTAATCTGAGTCATGCACTTGTTTATGTTATATCTTGCAAGTGACAATTTACAATTTAAATTGTCTTAAGCAATAAGAAAAAGGAATCTTTTGTTAGTTGCAAAATTGAAAAGTTCAGGGGTGGATCTCACTTCAGGCATGACAGGATCCTGGAGCTAGGACGACAGCCTCACTATTTTTTCCACCTCTCTGTTTCTTAGGCAGGGTCTCCACCTTGGGAGAGCAAGATGGTTTCAGGAAGCTCCACGTAGAATTTTGTTATCTTAACAGCTCCAGCTGGAAGCAGATTCTCTCTTTCCCAGCAGTTCTACAGAATTCCCACATAGGAAGAGTCTCATTGGCTCAAACTGGGTCATGTGTCTGTTAGCCCACTATGCTCACCTCCTCCTGGACCTGGGAGAGAACTGTCATCATCCAATGGTTAAAGTGCCAGTATAAGGACACGTGGTTATTATTTATGACTTGTGGATAATGTAGCATGATGGTGTTAATGGCAAACTGAGACACTGAGAAGACTTGCTAAAGTCAGTTTTTGCAACCATAATGCTGAAGTTTTATAGTATGATGTCTCACAGGGAGCTTCCTGAAAGCTGATAGCAGCTTTTGCCTTACAGGGACAATTTCATCACCACCAACCCAAGAGCATCTTCCAAGAGGAATTGGAGCCCCTCAAGAAGTTGAAGTCTCTGAACATCCCATAGCCTGTTGTCTCCTGCTATAGTCTGCCGATAATATATCCTTTGAGCTTATCAGAGTAATGTGTAACTTCCGTAAGAGTGAAGTTCAGAAAATGCATTTTTGACAAGTTTCTGATGACATTGTCCTCATCTGTGAACCAATCACTGTAGCCACAGATATGGGATGTTCCAGTTGCTCAGGGCTGGTTCACATGACTACCTGGGCCACTGCACATGGCCACAAGGCAGAAACGATTATAGTGTTGGCTTTTTTTAATAGTACGTTTCTTCTGGAAAACACTGAAGAGCTCCTAAGAGCATGGAGTGTGGGAGTGGTGATTCCACCAAGGAAAACCACAGTCTGTTGTCAGAAAAAGAGGAAATGGATGTGGAGCGGGGGAAAAAAATGAAAATCTATAGTAAGCATTGTTCTCCCATTACTTCATATGTATAAACCTTGCTTTTCCCAAATCAAGTATAAGCTCATTCATGAAAACAGAACTCAATATCTAACTAATAATCAATATATTCTTTTTGATTAGTCAAAAGCAAATATTTATTGGGCATCCACAGAGAACAAGATGCTATGATGCTTAGAGAAATCTTAAAGATCCAGATTTGAGACTTTAGTTTAAGTGCAACAAACAAATCCTGAATATCCACTGCATGTCAAACACAGTGCTAATGCTACGGATACAAAGTTGTATATGATACAACCCCCTCCCTTAAAAATCCTCCCTTAGCAGAGTAAAAACAGCAATACCAACATTTATGGAGTGTCTACTATGTGCCTATATTCCATATACATTAATCTTAAGTCTTAGTACAACCCATGCAAAGTATGATATATTTATTTTAATATGATTTTACTGAATACCAGAGAATGACACTTCAAACCTGATAGTCAAACTTAGAGGTCAAACAAAATGTTAAGAATGTGCAGTTAATTAGTAGAGTGGAGAAATCTGGTTATGAGGTGGCTCAGAATTGGTTCTTATAATCTAGATATGTAGATAGTAAAATAGCTTTAAAAAATCCATTGCACAAGTACTTTTTGCAGGCTTTCTTTTCTGAAGAATTCTGAAAAGCCCTTAAGACCTCATTGCTTGTCTCTGTAAACACATTACACACCCTTCTTTAATCTTACTATTCAATGAATTGCATCCTCAACCTTTTTCTGTATGAATTTCAAAGCTACTCAACCTGTTAGAGGAGCTCAGTGCCAGATAAATACGATGTATTATAATTACTATTTTGGCCATAAGTCTTTTTTTTCCTATAATGGAGCATACTCTTTGTGGCTACTGAACCCTACTTCTGGTTGATTAGGCTCTTAGTATTTAATAAGCTTCAACAGGAAATTAGTAGAATTAGTACAGAGTCTTGAATAATGAGCTGTTAATGTATTTTTAATGACCAAGATGTTCGAACAAGAAACTTGTTGATTTTTGTCACTAAAACGTTATTGGAAAAATGATCTGCACGTAGCCTGGCTGGTGTTTTATGTGAAGTGAGATGATGTTTTACTACATTTCGAGTACTCTTTTACAAGCCAACTTGATTTAGGGAAGTTGTTGCAGGAAGAGGAAAGAGCTTAGCAATTAGAACCGAGTATAAATTGTAATATTTTTTAGGATTTCAGTCACAGAAAAAAACGTTTTTTTTTTTTTTTTTTTTTTTCTTAGATGGAGTCTTGCTCTGTTGCTCTGGCTGGAGTGCAATGGCGTGATCTCGGCTCACTGCAACCTCTGCCTCCTGGGTTCAAGCAATTCTCCTACCTCAGCCTCCCAAGTAGCTGGGATTACCGGCACCCAGCACCGCGCCAGGCTAATTTTTGTATTTTTAGAAGAGACAGGGTTTCACCATGTTGACCAGACTGGTCTCGAACTCCTGACCTCGTGATTCACCCACCTTGACCTCCCAAAGTGCTGGGATTCCAGGCATGAGCCACCGCTCCCAGCCAGAAATATATTTCTTATAGAGGATCTTACTTTGTCTCTTTTGTTCCTTGCTTGATAGTAGTTATTAACCCATTTTACAGATAGACAAAGTGGAAAAGCTTGTTCTGCTTTTTTTTTTCTGTAAAATAGAAGGATCATTTCTGCCTGGGTCAGACTTTTTTAGTGGAAGAGATTATATAGGCTTTCTGGGTCTCAGTTTCTTTATCTGTTAAATTAAGATAATAAAGTGCATGTGTCACAAGATATTGTAAAAACTAAATGAAATAATTCATGTAAAACACTACTAGATCTTTCTCTTCTGTGTTCCTTTGGGCAAGTTAATTAATATCTCCTTAAGATATTACTCCTTTGGGAAAATTTTGCATTTTAGTAGCCTTTAATACTCTAATTGCATTGTGAGCTCCCTACAGTCATTGTGACCTCCCTAATCGTACTTTAGACATTTTTCTTTTTATTCCTTGCATTTAGCACAACACTGGGCTCAGAGCAGGTGATAGATAAACGCCTGTCAAAAGATTGCCTCCAAGGTGTCTTCCAGGACTTACACACTGTAATTACTTCCAACAGACTTCTCCTTAAGGAGATACAGAATGTAAATTTGTAACTAGAGTCATCTGTTTCTTTTGTAGAATCATGGCCCAAGAATCCCAGGTTTCAAGTTAAGAAGCACAAAATTGGTTCATTCAGTGATCATTCACTATGACATCAAAACCCTGCAATTCCAGGATAGTAATTAATTTAATTGCAATGAATCTATGGCTAGACACTGTCTCTCCAGCAAAAATGTAGCTGCACATGCTTCCTGGGGGCAAATTTGAAGAGTAACATGAAGTAGAGTTGACCCCAGAAGAGAATAAAGAAAAAAGCTACATATCCAGGATATTTGCACATAGTGTTTCATTTTAGATGGCGATTTTTGGTATTTAAGTGGATTGGGGTATAAGGTAGGAAGGAGTAATGAAATGAGAGAATATTTGCCTCTAATATACAATTGATGATGATAACGATGATAGTTATCATTTATGAGCAGTTACTACATGAAAGTGCCATGCCAAGGAATTTATATCCATTATTTCATTTCCTCTTCATAGCTACGCTAAGAGGTAAATGCTGCTACTGCTTCCATTTTACAAATGAAAAAAAATGAGGCTCAGAGAAGTTAATTCCTTTGACAATGTCATATAGTCAATATGTAGTAGAGGCAGAATTTGAACCCAGTTTTGAGTATTTTAAAATAGCATATTTAGCCAATTCTGTAGCTGAATCCTAAACTTCTCTCTTCTTCTAATGCAAACAATAAATTAAACAGTAATTTAAGTTTTATAACTACTACATGTTAAAAAGAAAAATTCCATGTTGGATAAGCAGATTTATTTAACAATGTAATACTAACAATTTCCAGGGCCTTATCAAGGGTTAACTATGAATCAGAAATTTTATACAGTGATATTGTGGGTTTTATCTCTTATTTAAAACTCTGCAAAGATATAATAGCCCATTTTACACATGAGAAAACTAAACTCATGCAACTAAAACAACTTCCCTTATTCCCAGAGGTGACAAGTGGCAGAGGACAGATCTTGAATGCAGGCCCTGATTTTTCCTTTGATCTCTGCTGAGGTGGTATTATACCAGGAACATACTCTGCTATATGGAAAACGTGGTTGGAGATAAGCTATGGAAAAGACATTTATAATTCAGCCTACTTTTAAAGTTCTGAGTCTCAAGGGGGTTGTTTTGTTTGTTTTGCTTTTACTCTTAACGAAATTATTCAAAGGCATCTCTCAAATGTTTGGGATTTGTGTAAGAAATGCCAAAACATGCTCGTTCTCTTAAGAAAGTTCTTCTCTCTCTGTTAAAATCTCTATGTAATTTCAGGCAAAATTTAATTCATATGTTTCTGATTCACTTCCCAAACTTACCACCATGTTTTCAGAGGCCATTTAAAGTCTATGACTTTTGGAGTTGCTGTGAGCTACTTGTCTTTAAAATAGGAAGTTAAATTTTTTTCATAAGGGCAGAGGACTTGGCCTCAGAGGAAAGGGGGTGTGTTCCAAGTCCCAAGCCACAAAAAGCATGTGGTTTCCAAACCTGGCTGGTGTCTGCTTCTCCACCCCTCTCCTGCAAGCCTCAGCACAGTGTCATTTCTCTCAACAGCCAGAACTGGAATTTATCTCCCTTTTCTGTTCAAAGTTCATTATAGTATTTGAATCTAATTTTAAGAGCAATCAGAGAAGAAAAAGAAAAGAAAGATATCCAAATCAGAAAGGAAGAAGCAAAATCCTTGTTTAAAGATGACATGATTCTATATGTAGAAAGCTTTAAAGACTCTACACCAAAAAATTAAAAAATAAAAACTGTTAGAACTAATAAATGAATTCAGTAAAATAGCAGGATACAAAGATCATCGTACGAAAATTAGTAGCATTTCCTTACATCAACCACTACCTACCCAAAAAGGAAAATCTAGAAAATAATCCCATTTACAATAGCATTATAAAGAATAATTATAAAGCTATGATAATCAAAACTGTATGGTACTGAAATAAAGACAGACACATAGACCAATGAAAGAGATATAAACCCAAATATACAAAGTCAACTAATTTTCAACAAGGGCACTAAGAATACCCAAAGGGGAAAGGATAGCCTCTTTAATTAATGATGTTGGGAGAACTGAATACCAACATACAAAAGAATAAAATTGAACCCTTATCTTACACCTACCAAAAATCAATTCAAAATGGATTAAAGACTTAAAAGTAAGAATTGAAACCATAAAATTCCTAGAAGAAAACAAAGGGGAAAACTTCTTGACATTGACCTTCACCACGATTTTTTGGATATGACACCAAAAGTTCAGGGAACAAAAGCAAAAATAAACAAGTGAGACTACATCAAGCAAAAAAAGCTCTGAGAAGCAAAGAAACAATCAACAAAATAAAAAGGCAATCTGTGAGCTGGGAGAATCTATTTCTTGGTTAATTATTTTTAATGCATTGAAATTTATTGCACAAATAACAGAACTGCTTTTTTTAAA